GGGAGCCAGGTCGGGTCGGGGTCTGGTCCTGCCGCGGCAGCTCGGTGCAGAGCCAGCGCCTCGCAGCGCCGGCTCATAATTAATTGGCAGGAGCAGTGGGTCAGCGCGGCGGCGAGGATTACCGCGGCCGGGATTTCCATCGGGCGCGGATTAGGAGCCAGCGGAGCCTCTCCTGAGTGGATCTGAGGGGATTGCTGCTCCTAATCAATGTAAATGAGGCTCCCCCAGGGCCACCCTTTACGGCATTAACGAACTAACGGGATTAGCCAGAGCAGGGTGAGAAATCCTCTCTCTGAGCTGCGGCGCGTGGCGGGGCCGGGGCCACGGTGGGTAACCGCGGTGGGTCGGCCGCAGGCTGCCGGAGCCGGGGGAGCGCCGGGGCCCCGTGCCCTTCCTGCATCCCGCAGGGTCCTCGGTGCCTTTGGGACCCTGGTGTCCATCAGCCCCGTGGCCGGGTCAGTCTGTCTGTCCTGCTGCGCCTGTCTCTTTCTCAAGGCTGCCGGCACGTTGCCGGCAGGACCCAGCAGCGCCGTCTCGCGCACCCACGCTCTCGCAGGCGTCCCACCCCTGTGCGCGGCTTGGCGCCCGTAGCCTCCATCCCCAGCCGCGTCCCTCCTGCCCCAGACCGGCCCGCGCCTCCCGAGACGGTGACGCCGCACCGCGGGTCTCTGGCGCTGATGTTGCGCAGGGCTCCCGGTGCGTTGGGGGGCTCGAGCAGGGGGGATACCGCTGCCCCCCGGGATCCCTGCTCTGGGCCCTGCCCGTTCTCCAACCTCCAGTCCCTTTCAAGGAGGGGCCGGCGTTTGGGAAGGCGCAGGGGGTGTCCCTGACCCCCTTTTTCCCCTTACAGCCTGCGGCGGGAGGGCTACACGGTGCAGGTGAACGTCAACGACTACTTGGACATCTACTGCCCGCACTACAACGCCTCGGTGCCCGAGCACCGGTTGGAGCAGTACGTCCTCTACATGGTGAACGCGGAGGGCTACCGCACCTGCAACACCAGCCAGGGCTTCAAGCGCTGGGAGTGCAACCGGCCCCACGCGCCCCACAGCCCCATCAAGTTCTCGGAGAAGTTCCAGCGCTACAGCGCCTTCTCGTTGGGCTACGAGTTCCGCGCGGGGCAGGAGTACTACTACATCTGTACGTGGGGTGCTGGGGAGGGACCCCCCCACCCCGGCGGGTCCCCCCGCGCCCCCCAAGTTGGGTGGC